TCCCCCCCTCCCCGCTCCCCCGCTCCGCCTCCCCAGTCCCACCGTGGGTGCTGATGGGGAACTCTTGTCACCTTGCTGAGCCCTCCCCACTGCTGGGGGCTGTGTACAGTAAGGCAGGGACGCAGGTCCCCTCCAGCCTCCCACCCCCACCCCTGCGAGTCATGGGCAGGACTCTGGTGCCTTTCCTGCTTCAGGTCTTAAATGCTGTCCTTCTTGCAGGCTCTTACTTGAGTGGCTAAACTTATTTTGACCTGGGCTCCTAAGGGAGACCGGGCCACCCTTCCCTGATTGCTCTTTCCAGAGGCAAAAGAACTGGGTTGGCAGAGTGAAGGAGGAGCGAATTAACATTCACGATGGCTACAGTGCAGCAAGGACAAAACAGTCCTTGGTGCAACAGTTGTCAGCGTCTCTGTGAACGCGGCACACAAGGAGGACAGTGACTGAAAGCCGCCTGCAGCTCAGGACGCGGGTAGAGGGGAGCACGCGCGTAGAGGGGAGCACGCGCAGATAACAAAGCGCCCTTCCCGAAAACGGGAAAGTCCAGCGCTCGGTGCGCAGCCGCCCTGCGCGCTTGCAGCCTTGCCAGGGGCTGTGTGGCGACAAGACTTTTGTAGGACAGCACTGGAACGCAGCGACTTTAGTTCAGGAACACCGAGTCTCTGCAGTGGTCCGTACGCTAGCAGCTGGCTTTTAGCCTTTGGTCTCTGGGAGCCCCTGGGATCACATGCTCCCTGCCACAGGTCCGAGGGAAGGACTTGATTTTTCAGATGAGTTCTCAGTCTGTGGGGTGAAGCCCACCAGTCTCGAAGTCCAGAAGGGGGTTAGCAAGGCCAGGGCTGCCAGCCAGAGTTGGTTGCTGAAGGGGGCTTTGTGCCCTGAGCTGTCACAGAAGCCTGACCTGGCCTGGCCTCAGGATTTGGGACCAGCTGTCTGCGTCTCCAAGCTGCCTGTCCTGACTTTTCTGAGCTGAGGAAGCAAATGCTTTCAGGGTCCCGGTGGGCTGGGGGCCTGTCTTTCCTGAGGGCTGGCGCTGTGCCGATGCCCCCTTCAGAAAGGCCACCTCAGGGCGGGAGAGCTGCCTCTCCCTGTTGAGTCCAGTGAGTCCAGGCCTGGACAGGCCTCCCGGCCTGTGGGACAGGCTGAAGTGTTGCTCTGCCTGGAGCACAGGTGAGACCCGGGGCAGGTAGCTGGGAGAAAGGCCTGACCCGAGGCTCCCATCCACTGTCTCTGCTGTCGCCCTGGAGCATCGGACTTTCTTTGTCCCAAACAGCCTCTGGCCTTAGCCCAGCCCCTTGCCCGGTCTGCGGCCCAGGGGCAGAGTGGAGAGAACTTCTGCCCCTGCCCCTCCCCCTAAGCCTCGTGCCTTTGCAGCTTCTCTGTGAATGAGAGCAAGGAGCAGGTTGACCTTTGACCCTTTCTGGAATTCCAGGGCCCTGCCCCCCCCTTAAAAACTCCCACTACTTCCTCCATGACATAAGCACAATGGCAGTCACTTCAGCCTTTGCCTCTGGCCTAGAACCGCTGTTGCTCCTCCCTCCCCCACCCCGACCACCCCCAGCTGCCTGCTCCCCACTTTCTCTGCCCCGGGCTGGGGAGCCTGGATGTGGCCTAGAGCTCTACTCCCACACTGAGCTTGGCTCCCCGTCCTTCCACCGCACAAAGACTTCCCTTTCCCTGCTCGCCTCCCAGCCTCCCTTCCGTCCTTGTGGTCCCCGTACCCCGATGACCTCGTTTCTGCAGCCAGCTGTTGGGATGAGGGGACCTGGGCCAGTCAGGGCACGCCTTTGTCCCTCTAAGTTGGAGGTTGAGGCCATAGTCACAGGATAGGACTCTCACAGGAGGCCATGTCTTGTTTTGTCCCAGCCAGGAGGTGCCCAGCACATTCTGGTCATTTCTAGGGCCAGAGGAGTGAGGGGAGGCACATCTTCCAATGCCCAGGGCTGTTGCCCACGAGAGCTAGGTGGTGACCAGGGCCTATGTGGGAGGCACAGCGGGGCTGGCACTGGGAGCTGGGGTCCCCTCCTCTTCCTAGTCCTGTGTGGTGCTGAAGCAGTCCCCCGCCAGAGGGCAGAGGGGTGTGGGCCTGGGGTCTTGCCGCCTGTGGACCGGGCCAGCTTCGATCTCTCCATCTCCCCTCTGCCCGAGCTCTAGGGCTGAGGCCCTGGTAGGCTGGGTTGGGGAGCAGGGCCGTCCCCCTGCTCGGGGCTCTCGTTCTCTGCCCCATGAACAGGGCCACTGGGAATTGCCCCGAAAGGCGCTGTCAGCTGGTTCTTATAGTCTTACTCGGAAGTGCCAAGATGCCTTTTTCAGTCCAAAGAACTGAAAATTGGGGAAAATGGGCCTTGGACCCTTCTCAGGCTTGTGTCCCAGTGTCCCCACACCTCTTGTTCAGCACTGGGACCTGGGCTAGGAGGTCCTCAATGATCTGGAGGGTTCTTTTTGCTCCTGGGCCCAGCTCCCTGTCTGGGCCAAGTGATGTCACTTGGCTGCCTCTGTCTGGCTTCTGCTTTGTGGGGCCGGGCTGCCTTCTCTTGCTCTCCTTTTCGCTCTCCTCCTCACTCTTCATTTGGTGGGTCTGGTTGCTGTGGAGTGGGAAGGTCTTTGGATGGGAGGAGTGGTCAAGGACAGATAGGAAGCCACTTCCTCGGCCCCGGACGGCCGCCTTTTGGAATCGCCCTGGTCTGAGCCTCTGGAGTTGTCCAGGGGTCCAGTGCCGCCCTCACCTC